TTGAGAAGTTGGATAGGATATTAAAAAAGAATAATAATTAAATAGATAAAGATGTAAGGGTTTATCTGCAAGTATTATTGCAATATTTATGATTAAGGTACTAGAATTAGACTAGAGAATAAATGCAAGTACAACGATTGCCAGTTTATTGGGATAGAAAGATAATAAAGTATAATGTATTAGTATATAAGCTCAAAATTAGATAAAATAGCGAAAACCTCTAAAAGAGAACTGTGAAAATTCACAAAGGTATCAAGCCTTCTTGATGATAAGAGAATATTTATGAAGGTATACATATTTTTATAACAATTTTGTGCATGTGTTAATTTTTGTAATTTACATTAATTATACTTTAAACAGATAATGTCATATCTTAGAAGTCATAAGTTTAATGTGAATCTTAAAATTCTGAAAAATTATGTCGAGAATGAAGTATTTCTGTCTTTAAGTATTGAAAGAAAGAAAACAATATGTGAGAAAATGGTATAGAGATAGTTTAAAAAACTAAGCTAGCATTGTAAAGAATAGAAAAAAGATATATATGTAGATGGATATGAATGAAAGGATATAGTGCAAGATAGACAAACAATTTTTTTGCTGATAATAAAGGAATTGGAGCTCGTTCTTATTGAATATGATAACAAAGATCTCTCTAAATTAGTAAAGAAGAATATTTCTTCTGAACAAAAGTAATATTATATAATAATATATGATAAGATGACATTAAATGTGAATGATGATAAAAAAACAGAATAGAGACCCAAAGGTTGTTTATATTTTTATATAATTTGTAATTTATTTTGCAAACTAACCTTTCACTATTTTAACTATTAATAGGTAAACACAAAATATATTCAAAAAGGCAAAGCAGAGGCATTTATATTAGTAAATTTTTGTATGTACTACTAGATCGAGTTCATTTAACTAAAGAACAACTTATAGCCTATTCTGAAATCTCAAAATATTATGTTACAGAGCTATTAGAAATTGGAGCAAACTACGAAGGTTATTGGAAAGTTGAATTGCTAGCTAAGCAATTTGAGTGGGCAATTGACATTTTAGAAATTGTACTTCTGAATACAATTTTTGTTTTTGGATTTGATAATAGCACCAATTATAGAGTCTTTACTGAGAATGCCCTAATAGCGAGGAGAATGAATGTTGGCTATAGTAGTAAACAACCAATAATGCATCCTAGTTGATTTTCTAATAGTATATCCTAAGAGATAGTCTTTCTGCTAAATTATCCAGACCAAAAAAAAAAAGGAAAACAAAAAGAAATTGAGGCAGTAATAACAGAAAGAGGAATATAGGATAAATGATTAAGAGGTAAATATGTTAAATACTTAAAGAATAAAGAGAAAATTTGTTGCAATATGAAAATATTGACTAGATAGTCAGACTTTATAGAACAGAAAAGCATTCTTGAAGAAATTGTGCTCAAACAAGGTCATAAAATTTTTTTTTATTCTAAGTTTTATCTAGAATTAGACTTTATTAAATATTATTAGGGTACAATAAAGAGATATGCAAAAAGCTACTGTGATTATACTTTCTGAAAATTAAGAAAAACTATACCAGAGGCTCTTGGTTCTGTAGATATTATAACTATTAGAAAGTTTGCAAGAAAAATGTAAAGATATATGGACACCTATAAGAAAGGATTACTACTTTCTACTGCTGAATTTGCAGTAAAAAAATATAAATCTCATCAAAGAATTCTTGAAAATATTGAATTGTAATGACTGCATAATAATAAATAAATTACAGTCATAATATGTATTTTAAAAATCTTATATTTATGTTTCCTATTATTATTTTTATTTTAAATTTGATTTTATAAATTCAATCAATTATTAATTAGGTTTAAAATTTGATGTATAAAATAATTAAGCATCTTTGTACCTATTACCTTGTTCAGTTTATATTTATTTGAATAAAGAAATTATTAACTGAACTAATAAATTTATTAATTCTTTTTTTTTTTTTTTTTTTTTTTAATACTTAGGCAATCTTGCCCTTCATTTTATTAGAAGAAATATTAAAAAATATTTAGACAGGTATATAATAAAAGAAAAAAAACTATTCTACTTTTAAAACTGCCCTCCTTATTGCAATTCTGGACTCACTCGGCTATCTAAAAGATACCTAAGTGCGATCTGCTACAGCAGCATTTTCCTCCTGAGACCAAACATATGTTTAAACATACCTGTTTAGACTTTATCAAAAGAAGGCTACTACCAGCTCATATCAAGAAAGCCTATTTAACCTTAAATTTTAACTAATTCTTATGCTCTGCATTTTCAATCCACCTCGAGATTTAGTTGTTTGAATCTTTTAGAATTTTTTCTCTTTTCTCAGCTACTAAATCTTTCTTTTGAGAGTTCTCTAGAGAATTATTCACTTTGTTTGCTAGGCTAAACCTAGACTGTTTCTCCTTTTTTCCTTTCTTCCTTCGCATATTGATCTTATTTTCTTTTTCCCAACTTGTCATGACTTCATAATAAAACTTCTATAATCTTTCATAAAAATTAAACCAAAATATATCAATAAACCAACTTATCGTTTGGTTGGCTTTAGATCTGGAGCTTAGTAATAGTCTGATATCATTAGTTTGTTTTTTGCTTATAATGCCTCGAAGGTATAACTTTCTTCGTTAAGCTTTTCTTCTAAGTTTATACCTAAGAGTGTGCTCGCAAGACTAGAACTTGATACTGATAAATCCCATTCTTCAAGTATTATCAGACCTAGTTCCTCTATTATTATTTCTTCTGTGTGTTTTCAGATCTCTTGATATAACTCACAAGTAGCTAGATGGCTAAAAGTTTCTTCTGTTCTGAAGCATACTACATATGTTTTACTTTTATATAACTTAGGTCTTCTTTGGTAGCA